AGAACTGGATAAATTCATGGTGGTTAAGTCTATTAATGGCTGTTAGCCAGGATGGGTAAGGAATGGTGTCCCTAGCCTCTGTCTGTCAGAGGATGGAGATGGATGGCAGGAGAGAGATCACTTGATCATTGCCTATTAGGTTCACTCCCTCTGAGGCACCTGGCATTGTGGATACTGTGCTAGATGGACCTTTGGTCTGACCCGGTACGGCCTTTCTTATGTTCTTATAATGTAGCAGCCTGCCTTCTTAGTAAATTGTTTCTATTGTCTTTGTGAATTCCCCCAGGAGTATAAAACAGGTGTCAAAGTTTTAAGGCTCCTTTACATTGCCAGAGTGGTGTAAAGGACAGTATGGCCTTATAAATGCTTATGGTGCTTTAGTGATTAGAACTGGTCTACATTTTTGGACTGAAAAAGCTTCCTATCAAAATGTGCTCCATGAACTGTTCGCCACTGACCACTCTGGAGATGGTCAGTAGCCAATATAAATTATGAGTTTGATTCCCCAGCCCTCTCTTGTTCCTCAGTTGCCTTTGATTAAGGCTGGGAGTTTGTCACAGAGGTCATGGATTCCGTGACTTCTGCAGCAGTTGGTGAGCCTGGCCCTGGGGTCACCTGAGCAGCTCAGGCAGTCCCTGGGCAAGTCACACCAGCCGCTGCTGGGACAGTCTCGGGCCACTGTGCCTCCCTCCCCTCCGCAACAGCAGGAGTTTGGGTGTGGGAGAGAGCAGGGGGTTTAGGCATGGGATGGGGTGAGGGCTCTGGGCGGTGCTTACCTTGGGGGCTCCCTGGAAGTGACAACATTTTCCTCCCAGCCAATGGGAGCTGCGGAGCCAGCGTTCGGGACGGAGGCAGCGTGCAGAGCTGCCTGGCCACGCCTCCACCAAGGAGCTGAAGGAGGGGGATGTCGCCATTTCCAGGGAGGCACGGAGCCAGGTAGGGAGCCTGTCAGCTTCCCCCCAGCACCAGCGGTGGTCCTTGGCTGCGCACCCTCGGGCCGCCCCCTTGCCAGCAGCCATGGCGTCCCCTGGGCGGCGTCCCCTGGGTGGCGTCCCCTGGGCGGCGTCCCCTGGGTGGCGTCCCCTGGGCTGCCCCCCTGAGCACCCATGGCACCCCCCGGGCCATCCCCCTCCCCCCAAGATTTAGCAGAGGTATATAATACAAGTCATGGACAGGTCATGGGCTGTGAATTTTTGTTTACTGCCCGTGACCTGCCATGACTTTTACTAAAAATACCCATGACTAAAACATAGCCTTACCTATGATATAACACTGAGCATATGGCTGCATATATTTGTTGACTAATAACTAGAAATAAAGGATCAAACCAAGCTACATTACTATTAGGCAAGGGGGGTTGGGGATTTCCTCCAACACTCACCACTCCCATTCTCCATCCATTGTATTGTAGTTTAAATAAATTAACTAAATAATTGAAACCAGCATGATTATATTGCATTATTATGACAAATAAAATATGCAGCATTTTAAAATATTGTACACAGAATTTTAATTTTTTTGGTGCAGAATTCCCCCAGGAGTTTAATGGTGTATATAGTTTAATAACAATACATCTACATTGTGCTTTTCATCATGATTGATCCTAAAGTGAATTACAAATGTGGACATGAATCTGGTCACCTACTGAGTGGAATAGAACAGCTGTTTAACACCACTTGGCAACCCATGAAGTGAATGATAATATACCCAATGGAAGCTACTAGTACATTCTAACTCCAGTCATCATGCAGAAAGACTAATACCTGTGACTTCAAACACAGCAGAATAAACAAACAAGTATGTGAGGTTTTTATTACATTAAGCGAAGATGCCAAACTATCTTTTTCAGTAGATAACCAGCCTGATATTGATTCTAGCAGAATCCAGTTCCTTGGGTGCTTTGACTGTAACCTGCAAAGAGAAAGAAATTGCTTGTAAGCATCATCAATCATCTTCTTCTTCTGCTGCCTGGACGATTTATTTCAAAAAGGGTTATGTTCTGCTTGTTTTTTACATTACAAATATCAATTAAGGCTGTCATGGTCAATCTTTTCTGGTTTTGCTGGAGGGCTCCTTGGGCATACCAGATTGTGGACCAAGAGATTTTTCAGTCTTTAATAGAAGGGGAGAGGATGTTGAATATTTAACAGACAGTTTTTTCTGCCCCAAGTATTTTGTTAGGTGTTAGAGTTGAATGTATTATCAAAAATAAAGATTTAAACAGCCTGAATAAGAGTCACTGCCCCTGTCAGTTAATCAGCTTTCACTTGCATGATAACTCTATCATCCATCTACAGTTTCTCCTGTTGTCCAGAGAGTCTTTCAGGATAAACACATTGGACACAATCTGAATCTCCAGTGCAGCAGTTCTCAAACTGTGGGTCAGGACCCCAAAGTGGGTCACGACCCCATTTTAATGGGGTTGCCAGGGCTGGCTGAGACTTGCTGGGGCTCGGGGCCAGAGCCAAAGCCCGAGCCTCACCACCCGGGGCCAAAGTCTGAGGGCTTCAGCCCTGGGCAGCGGGGCTCAGGTTACAGGCTCCCTGCTGGGGTTGAAGCCCTTGGGCTTCGGCTTTGGCCTTCCCGCTCAGGGTAATGGGGATCAGGCTTTGGCTCAGGCTTCAGTCCTCCCTCCTGGGGTTGTGAAGTAATTTTTGTTGTCAGAAGGGGGCCGCGGTGCAATGAAATTTGAGAACCCCTGCTCTATGTAAAAAGCAGTCCTCCTCTCCCAATGCCCCTTTTTGAGGGGGGGGAAAACAAACAAACCCTTTCAGGCTTTTGTTTTGCATCATTAAAAAGCAAACTAATGGTATAAGCTGAATTTTCAGTTTTGAATTTTTAAAGGGACAAGCATTTGTGGTATGCGAAGAAGGCATAGTTGTCATCCTATACATTGTGTCCTTCCCAACCAGATACAAATGTTTTCAAGGACAGAACTTGTATGTAGTAGCCTTTTGGTTAAGATCAAGTGCAATACTTCGGATGTTGGGAAGCAGTATTTGCCAAATCCTGCTAATATTGAAGCCAGTGGGGATTTGCTTCGATGAGTGCAGGATAGGGGCCATATCCTTTAAGGCTAAAATTCAACAAAATGTAGAGGAACCACACATTGCCTTACATACTACTTAAGGTCCCTTCAGTCTTGCATTAAGGGCTCCACATACCTACTGATTAGGACCAAGGCCTTAAACTGTAGTTTGGTTAGGGCAGGAAGCCCACAAGCCTGTAAAGTGCCATGCATTTCTATTGGTCTACCTAAATGACAGATGACATTGAACTCCATTATCTAATACAGCTCTTTATTACAATGTGATAGAAACACATATTAAACAATCATTTTAACTCCATTATTAGAACATGGCAATGGCAATTTAATTGACACTGTCCTGCCATATGTTTTGTTCAAGTTCAGGTTTGAAAGCATAAGTAAAAACAATAATATGCTTTATATGAGTTGTTCATGGCAGCTACTGTGCCTTCCTATGTGTGTGCCTAACATACTATATGCTCTAGCATAATGCAGATATATAATAATTAATCATAATAAAATGTACCAATGACTTCAGCCCATGCAATGTCTTTTTTATTGTAATTTCTATGATTCTGTGATTATGGTTAATAACTAATAAAATGTGCACTTCTATAGATACGTGACAAATGTTCTCAAAGCACTTTACTAGCATTAATTTAATGAAGCCTTACAACTTATTCCAGTTTGATGATGGGTTCC